CGACCTTAATGGGGGAAGATTTCAGGAAAAATTGAGAGCAAGTACGAAGATCCCCGAATTTTATAAATCTCCGATCATAAACAGGTCGGGGATGAGATTGTTATCCCCATCCCCAAATAGGCCCGATAAGTAGTTTTAAATATAATATAACAATGCATGATTATATTATAATATAATATATATTTAATTTTTTGAAATTGAATTAAGATTATTTTGAGTCAATGAGTTGAATTTTATAATTTAACTGAATGTAATTGAGTTTAATGATAATTTAATGTGAAAGAAAGTGTTATAATATACGATTTTTTTAAAATAATAAAAAATTGAAAATTCGAGGCGGGTTTGGGAGGTAGCCTCTCGAAAGAGATGAGAATGGTATTGCCATATTCGGTCTATTACCACCCCTATTTACACATGGCATAATAAAAGACAATGCATCAATAGTAGCAAGAATTAATGTTGCAGCAGATTTATACAACACAAGTAAAAAAATTTCAAAAAGAGGAATGGTGCTACTTATATTGAAAAGTGTAGGCTCCATTAATTAGTTCTATAACACTTTGGGAGTATGTGAAAAAATTCCCTCATTTTCTCTAATTTTGGGGAAAAAATTTGAGTTTGCCAATGAAGTTTAGGCCAGTGGAAAAAAAACCATTGACTTACAGATTAATGGTCTCATGTTCGAGCCCCATGACACCATGAAACCTTGACAGTGTGTGTGAGAAAACTGCCCTCCCCCATATTGCTTTTTATAATTTTTTTTTGGGAGACTTTGGAAAAACACAAAGAAGAGAGAAAATTTGTAAAAGAAGCCAAAATGGACAAAATTGCCCTTATTTATTTTTGGATTTCCTAAGGAATTCTTTACATTTGCATGTCTTTGATTTGAAAGTTGAGAGGTTTTTCTGTCTTTTTTGAAAAAATTTTGGCTTTTTCCAAAAGTGAAATTTTTTTTTTTGCTAAAACCTAAATTTACTTTTTTTTTTTATATATAAAAAAGAAGTTTTGGACTACGTACACATAAAACTCAGCTTTCAAAGTGGGGCTCCAAATGCTTACAACTGCATGTAGGCTGTCTTGGTAGGTCCAGTCAGGTTTTCAGTCCGACTCGAATACTATCACCCAACTCTATTCACAATCCAGAATTTTGGCCCATTTCTATACATGCGTTGGGGTAGGATTTTGAATCCAAAACTTAAACTACCGGTTTGGCTAAAGCAGTGTTGGACATGGTCCAAGAGGATAAAAAACCAATCTAATTTATCTCAAAAGAACCATTATTAGTCTATTTTAATTCAACCTGATGCATATTCTTTCCTCTCTTTTTTGTTGCCAAAGTTAGGAAAGGAAAAGGGGAAAACTCACACACACACATGTACCAATGGGACTTGAACTCATGACTCCTTGTGAGTACACCAAAAGCCTGAGCCAATCCAACTAACACCTTATTGATAACCTCTTGCAAACTCAAAATAGGAGAATATGCGAGAGACATAAAGCCATAAGGATTACATATAAAAAAAACAATATATTATTTCTATATGACAATATTCAAAGCTACATAGTAAACAAATGTGAGTGAGAGACTAGAATATGAGTGAATCCAAGCCAAACAGATTTAACAAACTGCAATTTGCAATTTGCAATTTTCAATTATGAAGGAAAGTGCATGGCAAGTTATCAAGTCAATCTATTTAACCTTTTTGTTTGTTTGGTTGTTTATTTATTTATTTATTATATCTAGATTGTTTAAAACTAGTGTTCATAACACTTTGCTTAGGTCCTCAATTTACTAATCGTTCCTTGCGTAGGTCCTCAACCACCTACTCTTTGTCTTTAACTAATTAACAATTCTTAATCCATTTGAATTCGGACACAAAAAAGGATTAAACAATGACTGCATTACTTACCATTCACCCGTCCTACCTAATTCAAATTGTTAAATGCAAATTGCAATATATAAGTCATGTACGTGTGAATGGGATTAATATTTCCTCAATTATTATTAGGGGCTCTATTATTATATAGTGTGAGTGAGGATTGAAACTTGAAGGAAGTTGTTCTTCGCATGTCCCACAACCACAAATATTCTTCATGGCCTGGCAATTCCCAAATCAATGCAATCTAAAGACAACAACGCCTCCATGATTGCATCTGGGGTGGGGTGGTTGTGGTGGGTGGCGGTTGAGGTCAAGTGGGTGGCTGTTGCATTTTATCTTTTTCTTCAATTTTGAGTTTTTTTATTTATAAATAATTTGATTCAAAGTTAACAATGTTTTGTGGCATGTTAAGTGAGGACACATGTCAACAAAATAAAAAGGAAATAGGTGGGAACAGGAGAAATGGAAACAGGAAAATTGAACTCAATAGAAAGACGGGGAGAGATGGAAAGCGACGGAAGGAAGAAGAAGATGGGAAAAAAAAATAAAAAAATGAAGGCGTTGGGAGAGATGAGATATGCGGAGAATAAAAATTACAAAAGAAAGAAAAAGAGGGGTTGGTTTGGGGGCATTTTCATATGCACATGCATGCTCTCACATTTTTTATTTTATAATATTTATTATTTGGAGTAACTATTACTAATTATATAAAGGGGAGGGAAAAGAGCCTTGGTTAGTGAGAAAGATTTTATCCATATATTTTTATTAAATTACTATTGTAAATATTTTATTATGAGAAAGATTATCCTTTTATATTTTATTACATTATTACTATTCATGTGTCAGCTACAATAAAATTTATTATATTTAAATCATTAGACACAAATAATGGTGACTAATTTGGTTTAAGAGGGTTGATCACCCATAATTGTCACCAAAATATATTAGTTACTTAAAAAAAATGTGACTATTGCTTCCTTTCGCAGAGGGAGAAATTTTTATATTCTCTGGGTACACCATGTAGTTGTTGTATCATCTAATACACATAGGATATAAAAATTATTCTCCAACTTACCACATTACTTTTTATGACATGTGGCTAGCTGCATTGGAAATATTTCACATGTTCTATGTCAATTGGATGGTACATCAGTCACGTAATTTACCCGGAACACCCATTAGAGTAGACATGAGATGGTTAGTGAGTGATGGTGTGCCAACAAAAGAATGGGGAGTTTAAGCAAGCAAAGTATAATTAGATGAGTGCATAAAGTGAAGTCTTATTAGTGAGTGTTCCACTTTAATGTCTTTTCTCTTTTTCCTTTTACTTTGTTTTTCTTCTGTTCTGCTGCTTTGTCATTTGCGGCTTGGTGCTTTTGCTTTCTGGGGAAGAGATTATGAGAATGTGCGTATTAGAGACCAAGTAATGATGAATCGGCATTTTCTGAGCTGTGCATCTCCTCTTCTTCTAGCCGCACTACCCACACCCCTCTTCCTTCTCTCTCCCTATTTCTCCCTCCAGATGTGGATTTTTTATTTTCCCTTTTTTCACAAGGGAAATGTACCATAACAAGTTGTTGACAAGAGAAAATGTAGTAAGAGTAGCATCATTGAAAAATAAAAATAAAATTTGTAGATAAATTGTAAAGCTCTAGATGTAACAATTATTAGAGATATGCTAAACTGATAATTGATTTCCGATACTCCAGGTATTTTCTATGCCCCAAGTGGCTATGTTCTAAAATGATAAATTATTTGAGATTTATTTTTTATTTTTTTGCATTTGATGTTGGTGAGAGAAAATACTAATAATTGTTATTTGAGTCCATGTCCATGGATAAAGAGAAACAGAGAAAAACATAAAAACATGAATTTGATTTGTTTTTTTTTATAGTTTATCTTTAAAAAATAATAATAATACACACTTCTCAGCCCAAAAATTAAAAATAAATTTCATAATGTCAAAATAAGATTTTCGCAGCTTTAAGGCCTAGAGAATGTCACAAGGAGTTTCTAGGAATTTTTTGTGTATTTTTTAATTTTAGTGCATTTATTGTAAATTTTAGAAGTTTAATCAAATGGAAGTGATTGACATGAGGAAGCTGCTGAAAGGCGCACCATCAGTATTTCTAACGGGTGTCCTTCTACAACAGCGCCACGTGTCATTTCTTTGTATTATTTATTTTAAAAAAATTCATAACAACTTAAATTAAAAATCAGAAAAATACACACCCAAAAAAAAAAAATACAAATTTATAAATAAACTCAATCCTAGACATGTATTTATAAAAAAACCCAAGCACTATTTAAACATAGAAACACACCCAAAATCAACTCTAAAATCAACAATTGTATATTTTTTGGGTGTGTTTATAAATGGATTTTGAGTGTGTGTAATGATAGGTTTTTGGTGTCTTTATAAAGTGTTTTGGGTGTTGGATTTTTTTATAATTTCAGCCCCCATTTTGGGTGTTCTAGTGAAACTCCCAAAAAAAAAAAAGGTATGCTATCCTTACGACAAGGTCTTTGATTTTTGAGGTCTAAAATTATGATACCACAAAGAGTTCATGGTAATCATTGGATCAAAGAAACAAGAGTGTTAGGTTGTAGAAAATTAACTGAAGTTTTGGTTTGGTTGGAAACAAACTTGAATTGTTTTGTCACTTTGAGTTTTTGTAAGTCAAAATAAGATTTTTAAAGCTTTAGGGTGAAGAGAATATCATAAAGGAGTTTCTAAAAAATTTCGGTGTAATTTTTAGATTTTTAATATATTTATTATGAAATTTGGAAGTTAAATCATTTAAAAAAAGTATTTATTATGAGTTTTCATGCCAAAACTACCCTCATATTTTTACTAATAACACAAAAATACCCCTGCGTTTTGTGTGTGGTGTGCCTCCTCGCTGGGATTGGATTCATGCTGAAAGATCTGAAAATATTATAATGAATAATTGTTATTGAATGATTGTGCATAGGATGTATAGAGTAGACAAAGCAAATATATAAAGTTACATTGGATGCTCTAGCCTCTAGGAATAGAATATTTAAACCGTCAGTGGTTGTTTTTCACGCCTGATTAAAATATGAAAATGGTAGAGCCCAGCAAGACTTTTAAAGTCTCCTCCTGAGAGTTAAAGAAGCTCCTCTGCCTGTCTCTGCTTGCTATTGCTGTCTTGTATTGCAAATCTGCATTCATCATCTCCTTCTCCTTCTACCTACGAGAGAAGCTCTGTGCCTGTGCGTCTTCATCCATCTTCAGTCTCTTCTTCTCGCTTCTTAATTAATTAACTAGCATTAATATGATCTGCTGTTTGTCTTGCGCAGGGTTACATAAGGAAACTAAGATATGGCAGTAGAACCTGTGCTTACTTTCGCGACCGAGGGAATACTGACGAAGCTGACTTCCCTTGCTGCTGACGAAATCAGTCTTGCTTGGGGATTCAAAGCTGAACTAGGGAAGCTCAGTGAATCCTTATCCATCCTTCAAGATTTCTTAGGAGGTGCTGCTGAGAAGGCAAAAGATGGTGGCAGGCCAGTGGAAGGCTGGGTGAAGAAACTTAAAGGCATAGCTGATGAGGCTGATGATGTCTTTGAAGAAATCAACTATGAATTTCTCCGGAGACGAGTAGAACTGCATAACCATATGAGAAAAAAGGTGCTCAACTTCCTTTCTGCATCCAATCCCATTTTGTTTCGACAAAAAATGGCACACAGAATTAGAAAAATCAGCGCTTCTCTGGCGAAGCTCAAGAACGAAGCATCTTACATTGGATTAATTGCAAAGAAAAAAGATGCAACCCCTCAAAGAATTAGAGAGGACCGAGAAACCAACGCTTTCATTGGTAAAGATGAAATCATCATTGGAAGGAAGAACGCTGTGTCAGATATAGTTACAACATTGACCAGCTCCGACATAAATCAAGAAAATCTGTCGGTTATGGCAATCGCGGGAATGCCAGGACTGGGAAAGACAACTTTGGCCAAGTCAGTGTACAATGATAATTCAGTAACAGGGTATTTTGAAAAAAGGATATGGGTGTGTGTGTCTGATCCTTTTAACATCAATGTGATTTTGATCTGCATGTTAGAATCTCTTAACCCATCAAAAGCCACTGTAAGAGAAAATCAAGATGCAATGCTTAAATACATTGAAGAAGAGTTGAGAGAGAAAATTCGTCACGCGAAATTTGTATGCGCGACGAATATTATTTCGTAGCGCAAAGTTCATGTATCTCGCACGACGGAAGAGTCCGTCGTGCATTGTTTTTGTTGAATTCTGCTCCAGGAAGCAAAATTATTGTCACTACCCGCAGTGGCATAGTTGCATCACTCACAGAAACACTTCCGCGGCCTAAATTGGACCTTCTATCAACAGATGAATGCTGGTCCATATTGAAACATGCAGCTTGCTCAGATGGTAGTTTAGAGGGAATTGGACGGGAGATTGCTAAAAAGTGTGAAGGTCTACCATTGATGGCACAGGTACACGTACTATATATTATACATACATATATATATTTTTTATACAAGCATTGCTTACATCAAGCATTTTTATTTAGGCTTTAGATTATTGGATGATTTTTGGGAATTTAGGGATCATATCACGAATGAGTTATTTTGAATTGCATTAATGAATTTTCATGTAGAAAGAAATAACAAGATCTGAAGGAAGAGAAAGAAGATTGTCGATTTCTCTTTTTGTTTCATGTCATCATGTCATGCCCATTCTCCACAATCTCTTTCTTCATAATCAATTTATTAAATAGAAATTAACAAAGATACTTCATAAGACATTTGCACTAGTACCCTACCAGTGATAGAGAAATAACAAGGTCTGAAGGAAGAGAAAGAAGATTGTCGATTTCTCTTTTTGTTTCATGTCATCATGTCATGCCCATTCTCCACAATCTCTTTCTTCATAATCACTTTATTAAATAGAAATTAACAAAGATGCTTCATAAGACATTTGCACTAGTACCCTACCAGGGATATCTCCAACCTTTAATTAATCTCTCAAATTCACGAAAATATTGCTCATTGGCGTGGTGATTCGCTAAACACCTTGCTTCTAGTAATTAATTTTAATTTACCTAGCAAATATAAAATTAGAGGTTAAAAATGTTTTTCATCATTGGGTTTTGTATGAAATTTCAAAATGGTTACTCAGAAAAAAGAAAAAGAAAAATTGTAGCCAATTTTGTCACTGTGATTTACAAATTTACAAATTATAGATATTCTATCAATTTGCTATTAAAAGATATTAAACTATTAAAAATTCATTATTAATGGCATGGGATTGTTAATAAATCATTATTAATGGATAATTTTGCCGTTCAATTCAACTTTTGGGTTTTAGTTAGAAGTATGTGGGTTTTTGTCTAGACTATTTTAGTTGCAAGGCGCTATATCTGAATGACTCTTCTTTAAATAGCTAATTATTTTATCTACTAATTATTTGATAGAAATTCTCTAATCCATTACCAGGTTTTGGGAGGCATTTTGCGCTCTAAAAAGACTCATAATGAATGGTCTAAAGTCAAAGACAATAGAATATGGGACTTACCAAAGACAGAAGATAGAATCATGTCAGTCTTGAAGTTGAGTTTCGATAATTTGGAATCACCAGCACTGAAGCAATGTTTTTCATATTGCTCGGCGTTCATGAAAGATGAGGAGATGAAACGAGATGACTTGATTCAACTTTGGATGGCTCAAGGATTCCTCCATCCTCCTGAAAAAAGTAATCTAGAGATGGAGGATATAGGTAATGAATATTTTGATATTCTATTCCAAAGATCCTTATTTCAAGATGCTAGACTGGATGATGATGGCATTGTTTTTCAATGCAAGATGCACGATCTCATACATGATCTTGCAGAACGTGTATCCGAAACTGGAAGCATGATGCGAGACTTCCACAAGGATGAAGATGTTGCAACTCCCATTATAGAAAGAATTCCAGAAGGAAGTAGTGGGAAATTGAGATCACTGTTTTCGAATGCTGAAGCACTACCTGGAAACATGCTGCCATGGTTTAAAGCTTTACGTGTCTTGAAATTATATGAGGCATATATTGAGGAGCTTCCAAGTTCAATTGAAGAGCTGAAACGCTTGAGATATCTTGACATTTCCTGTACAAAAATCAAAAGACTCCCAAATTCTATTGGCAAGCTGTATAACCTACAGACATTAAGAGCAACATACTGCAATCTTGAAGAATTTCCAAAAGACATGCAAAACTTGATCAACTTGAGACATGTTTATTGTGATGAGGAAACGAAATTTCCAGCTGGAGTATTAGGGAGATTAACTAGCCTTCGAAAATTACCTTATGAGGATTATGAGGTGAAGGGTAGGGAAATTGAGGAGCTGGCTGCCTTGAATCAATTGAAGGGTAAATTGAATATTTGTAAATTGGAAGATGTAAGGAATGGAGATGAGGCAAGGATAGCTAAATTAAAGGATAAGAAAAACGTACGCAGCTTGATATTTACCTGGTCAATAACCAACAATAATAATGATGCAGATGTACTAGAAGGCCTCCAGCCACATTCTGAGAATAATAATGATGATGATGTACTAGAAGGCCTCCAGCCGCATTCTGAGTTGGAAAGGCTAAAGATTAAATATTTCATGGGTACTAAATTTCCATCATGGATGATTAAGCTTCGCAATTTAAAGCAGATTGAGCTTAAGGGGTGCAACAGATGTGAAAAAGTCCCAACACTCGGCCATCTACCTCATCTTACAGTTGTTCGGATTAAAGGACTGGATAATCTAAAATGTGTTGGAGAAGAGATTTATGGAAATGACATATTTCCAGCACTGAAAGAATTACACATTCATAATTGCAAGGAACTAATTGAATGGATGGAAGCACCAGAACAAGCCATAGTGTTTCCTCGCCTGGAGAAGTTGGAGATGAGGCGTTGTCCCAAATTGAGAAAGGCTCCCAGTCGTCTTCCATGTCCGAAGGAGTTGGAGATACAAGGTAATATGGAACATATGGAGATAAGATGTGAGAAGTTAAAGATAAGATGTGAGAAGTTAACTTGTATTGCCCACTATATCTTTGGTTGTTGTGCATCTCTTCGAAAGTTGGCTGTATTCTTTTGCCCTAGTCTACAATCTATTTCGAATTTGCATAGCTTCACATCTCTTCGTGAATTGAGCATTGAACATTGTGAGAGATTAGAAAGTTTGGTGAGCAGTGGGCCCGTCTCTGTTGTGGAGTTGCTGACTATAAAAGGTTGTAGTGGTCTACAATCTATTCCAGATTTGAACCTCTTCCCATCCCTCCTTAAATTGACCATTAAAAATTGTGAGAGATTAGAGAGTTTGGTGAGCAGTGGGCCCGTTTCTGTTGTGGAGTTGTTGACTATAAAAGGTTGTAGTGGTCTACAATCTATTCCAAATTTGAACCTCTTCCCATCCCTCCTTAAATTGAACATTAAAAATTGTGAGAGATTAGATAGTTTGGTGAGCAGTGGGCCCGTCTCTGTTGTGGAGTTTATAATAAGAAATGCCCCTAATTTAGAGAGTCTTCCAAGTTTAGACAACCTCACATCTCTCTCTGAGTTGGTGATTGTTAATTGTGGGAAATTAAAATATCTGCCCACAGGGCTACACTGCTGCGCCAGTTTGATAAGATTGGAACTTGGTAGCTTCTGGGAGGAGCTCGATTCCTTCCCTTATTTCCATCTTGAAACTGGATCATCACAACTTCAAACATTAATTTTGACCGGGTGGCCCAAGCTCAAGTCTCTGCCTCAACAAATTCAAGACTTCACTTCTCTAAAATATTTGTGGATAGAGTGTTTCGATGGAGTGGAGGCTCTTGAGGATTGGTTGGGTGACCTTACATCCCTTGAGAATCTAGATATTTGGAGTTGCAAGAATCTCAAGTGTCTACCCAGTGTCGAAGCTACGCAACGCCTCACCGAATTACGATGGCTAAAAATTAGGGAATGTCCCCTTCTGAAGGAAAGATGCACCAAGGACAACGGCCCAGAGTGGCCCAAGATTTCTCACATTCCACATATCTGCAGTAATTTCTTCTTTCCTGAAATCAAAATTCCTTTTCATTCTTACCTTTCGGTTTAACTAGAGTTTATTCATTCTGAATAATTTCTGAAAGGAATAAGACTTGTTTATCCTTTTCCTTTTTCTTGTCAGTTGATGACAGATTGACGCTCCAACTTTGACAGTGAAGAAATGTAAGCTTTTCAAACTCCCACTCCCACTTGTCTTCTAATGGGCTCGTCTCTTATTTCCAATATAATCTTCTCTTTTATGGGGAAAGACTTCAAAGGAAGCCGTAAGATGTTTTTTAATTGCTGATTTTATAAAGAATTGCGGAAAGTATCAAGGATATATTCAGAATACTCTGTTAGTGGGATTTCTATACTATGTTTGATTAGAATTACAATTATAGGTATTTATCACTCCATGATTGGTATTTATTTATGCATATAAATATTTTCTTAGGCATGTTGTTTGTCATTGAGCAGGTACCCTTTCATTGGAAGGCAATGCTTCTCGGTATTTGTGGATTCTTTATCACCACTTGTTTAGAGGTAATGTGTCTAGTCTGAGTAAATATTCTTGTGCATTGTTAATTTCAGTATTTCTGTTATTTGAAGTTGATAAGGCTGAGCATTTTCGCGTTTTTTTTTTTCAGGGCCTGAGGGGTTGGGTAGGGAGAGATTGATATAGAGCGGATTTTATTTGCATCGTAACAACTTAATTGAAACAGAACAAAGAAGGAAATTAAGGAATGCCCCCTCTGTTCAGATTTTGAACCTACATTTTTTAGCATATTCATCATCTCCAAGGACAAAAAATGAAGTGGAGTGGAGTTCATTGTTTCTTTGAATGCTGTGATAACCGGTGACAAATATTTACGTCCTAAGCATTAGTTTCAGTACCAATGTGTGTATAACTTTTGTTGGTTGGCATGTCAACCCATTTCTTGTCTGTAATTGATATAACCTTCAAGTAATTTGAAACATACTGGATTTAATGTGGGATCATGGAGATTTTCTCGATTAGTAGTGTAGGATTTAATTTGAATCTTGAAAGTGTTGAACTGTTGTCATTTTTCTTGTTCGATGAGAGCAGAGAGGCCCCCTTCCCTCTTCCTAGAGTATTTACCAAGTCTTTCTTAAAGGACTATCGAGTACCTGCAGTATCACAGGAATCAGGTAAAACAATCTTCTATTACAATTTATAGATGATAGTTGCAAGCTTTGTTGTACTACGATATGTTGAAAGTTGGAATTTATTTTGTATATTTTTTTGCTAAGTTGTTTTGGTGTTATATTTGACCTATAGGCAGAGTTGGGATTCAGGTAGAAACTCATGCCTGCGTCGTGCCATGCACCTTCATGTTTCCGTCGCAACAAATCTTGCTTTGAATCTTGTGGCCCGAATCTAGTACTTTTCAACTGTTGCGGTCTGGAATCAAGTACTTTCTGCATGAACAAATGTTATGTTCTTTTTTTACTTTTTCTAGAATTGAAAGTGGTATTTTTGTTTTTGCCTTTTGGGGGTTTTGAGGCGAGCTGATAGAGTGAGAAGGGCATGGATGAGAGGGACGAAGTTATGATATGGATTGAATATGCCTAGGTGGCGTGAAATGTGCTAACTTTTTTTTTTTTTTTTTTGTTGTTGTTGTTGTTGTGGGCAAGGGGAAATGTACTAACTTTCAAAGGCAAATTGGAAACATTTAAGGGGAGGAACCTACCTTTCATCCTGGGCTAGATTTTGGTGGAAAAATCTGTTTTATCACGAAATATGCTACAAACTATCATGTTCTTTTCTCTATGGATTGAAGGGTTTACTAGAGAAGTTGACGAACCTACCTTTCATGTATTGAAAAACTGTGTATTTGTATTTGTAGTTATGGATATCTGAAGTATCTAGCTGCACATTGGAAACTGTAGAACACCTCAACAAAGGGAGACGCCCGAGTAGCCCAAGATTTCTCATATTCCAAGGGTCAATTGTAAGCTTCTTTCTGGGAAAATCTGTAATTTGTGTTTGCTTTTATTTTAAGGTGCAATTTTCCGTGATAAAAAGGACCAAGGAGTTAGGTTTTAGGCAAACATTGTCAATTGATCCTGCGTTGCAATAATATACTTAACTGATTAGTCTGTTTGGTTTGTAATAGGCAAAGACTTTCATGGGTTTATAGAAGAACAAAATTACATTACGTACAAGTGGTGCCCAAGAACATTTTAAAAGCATAATACAATTTAAAGATTTTCATGGAAAATTAGGTTCAGTTGTGAAAGGTAAATTGATACCTACTTACACACAGAACAGGGGAGGACAATTCAGCTCTTGCATGATGTTTATACCTGTATGTTTTATTATATATAGTTGCAAAGCAAATGTAGGTGTTTATGGTGTCCATAGATAGGCAATGCTTCTTTTTATCTGTTTGAGGTAATATGCGGTTGATGTGGAAGCAATTCTAATTTTTTCTGTCAAATGTAGCGCTTCGAGGTAATGAGGGTGACAGTGTGATCCCTAATATTTCATTGTCTTTCTTGACAGTTTCTTCTAATTAAGTTATGAAATTATTTGAAATACATATGAAATAAGGTGTTTCAAGTATAGAATCGGATAATATTTCACTTCCGATGTACCGATCCACATAATGTTTAATTTATACTCAATCTTTTATGTATGTGACTACTTATGTGACAGTATTTGATAGTTCAAAAGTATGCAGAAACTAAAATGACCATGATGACATTTGCTCATTTGGTCTACACACTTTGTTGTAAAACGCTATGGATTAAAATATTATGACATTTGCTCATTTGCCCACTCCTTGCACTGCATCCGTCCCAAAAGTAATAGAGCCTGCTCACACTCCCCTTGCATCACGCATTTATTTCTGGCAATTAACCAAATAACCCAGCATGTATAAACGCAAACAAAACCAATTCGTGTTCAGATAGTGCAGACAGGCATAGCCTAATCCTGAGAAAGTACGACAAAGAATCAGCAAAAAAACCCTTATCTCGTCTAGCAAATGGATTTGGTAACTCTAATTCAAAAATAGGGAACAAAAAACAAAAATTCAAATAGGTAGGCTTCGTGTGTCAGTTTCATTTTAAATTTCGTAAAATAAAGAAAGAAGAACAGACTATTTTTTATTTATTTTGTCAATTGAATTTATTTTCAACTCAATAGATTCATACTTGAAATCTTTTCCAAAATTAAAAAGAAAATATCACTACACTAATTAATATATATCTATTTAATTATCTAAAAAGCTGGTTAAAAAAATTGTGGTGTGGACCAATTTTTAACATTTGTCCAAGATTGCAATTTGGAACAGACAAGGACCCTATTTTCGATAGGATAATGCTAGGCTTACCGCATTTTTATATCACATTGTGTACTACTTTTTTAATAGAGGTGAAGCTCACCAATACAATGGGGTCCACCTCTATTAGAGAAGTGGTACACAATATAGTATAAAAATGTGATAAGCCTAACAATTTCCTTTTCGATAACAAGTTGGAAGGACTTATAATAGTAAGAACTTTTTTTAATAAAAACGATAGTTTAAATTACAAGAAAATGAGGATTTTTTCACACAAACACTACCAAGTTAAGAGCATCCACAATGACACTCTCTATTTCTTAGCTAAAATTTAGCTAAAAATATAAGAAAGCTATTTTAAGAGCTCTCTAAAAAATTTTAACTCCAACTATACTCTTTAATTTGGAGAGTCATAAATGCTATAACTCTTTTTTGATTGATCCATCTCTATTAAAAAATAAAATAAAAATTAGTTAGCATTAAATAAAGGTTTGAAATACTCATTAAATAAAACAGTATTAAATTATAGGGAGCCACTAGGAGTCATTTCTTTCTCCTCAGATTTAAGAGCTCCTAGAAGACTCCCTATTTTAGAAGGTGGATAGGGAGCGTGGTTGGAGTTGCATTTTTACTATTCCTCCCTAAAATTTGTCTAAGGAGGTAGTTTAGGAAGCCCATTATGGATGCTCTAAGTACCATTTTCAAATAAGTCCATTTAACAATACTAAATGTAGCTTGTTTTCTCAACCTTGGGCAAGTGAAATTTAATTAGTAAATTTAGGTTTTAGCCAAAAAAAAAATTTTCACTTTTGAAAAAAGCCAAAGTTTTTTAGAAAAAGACAGAAAAAGCTCTCAACTGTTCTTCTGAACCAACCAATTGGCATTTCATGAGCAATAAAGATCCATTAACTTTCTCACCTATACTCATAAAAGCCTCACTAGTTAGTCAGTCCTCACCTTCATATATAAACTCCATGCTGTGCCGCTCTT